TTTCTAACATTGCTGCTTCTGACTATTCTCTGTGCCCAGTTGTGCAAAGGGATGTTAAAGGAAGGGGTCACCACCCATAGCTCTGGGGCTGGGCATCCTCCTCCCTGCTGGCCCCCAGCGTGGGGACCTGGTGTCTGTGTCCCAGGATGGTGAAAGTGGCAGCTGCTCTCCTGCTCAGCCAGCAGCAGCTTCAACAGCACCTCTGCCCAGGCTCACACAAGTACCAAGAGCCTGCACCTCTGTTAAGGGCTCACACAAGCACCAACAGCCTGCACCTCTGTTAAGGGCTCACACAAGTACCAACAGCCTGCACCTCTGCCCAGGCTCTCACAAGCACCAACAGCCTGCACCTCTGCCCAGGCTCACACAAGCACCAACAGCCTGCACCTCTGTTAAAGGCTCACACAAGCACCAACAGCCTTTCCCCTTCTCCCCTGAGGCTGACAAGACTGAGGGTCACTGGTGAAACACACACTCCTCCCTCCTCTCTGCCCTCACAAGCACATGCATTGTTGCAGATCCCCAAGGCATGGCCTCCCTGGTTTTCTGATAGCCCTGCCCAGATCCTAGACCTTCTTACCTGCTGCACAGTCCCAAATTACCAGCAGTCCAGCTTGGTGCTCAGTGCATTCTGAAACAAGCATCCTCCCTCCCCACATACCCTGGCCAAGCACTCTGGCTGACCAGGGCTGTCCCTGTTGTTGTCTCTGTGAGTGTTGTCTGGTACATTGTACATCTCTAGGTTTGGCTTCCTCTCTTTGTCATTCCACTTGATAAGGTCCTTGATCAGATGACACTAGTGAAGCAGGCACTCTCTCCTTCCATTTGCTCTGACAGGTAAATTCCAGCTGGGTTCAGGTACAGAATGGGGAGTGAAAACTCTGCCTCTTTCTGAGGAAGGCATCTTGACATGCTTAGCATGCAGTCCTAATTAAAAACAACTCCTTTGCAAGTCAAGAGAGGGCTCTGCTCCTCTCTGTAAGCAATCTGATACGATGGAATACTTCCTCCCCCGCCAGGTCCCATGTATTCAGTGGAGGAGGAGGAAGAGTAGGACAGGAAAACACATATTTACTCCTACACAAGTGCAATACACAGAGCAGCAGCTAGAAGCAGGAATACAGACAGACTGACAGGCACACAGCACTCACTGAGTGAACCAGCAGCCCTGCAGGGATGCTCCTGGCCTTCCTGACAGTGACTGTGCTGCTTGCATCTCCCCAGAATGTTTGGGTGTGGGACCACACTTACCACACACAGGAAATCTCCACAACATTTCTGGCGTAAGATATTACCAGGAAAATGCATCTTGTATCCCAGCTGGAGTTTGGGACCATCTGTGTACAGTTGATAGCTCCTGGCTACATGAAAACCAGCAGTTAAGGAGCCTCCCTAGTCTCAGGCTATCTGTCAAATGTACTTTCATTGAAGGGCTGGCCCAGATGTGTTCAACTCCTTGCTTGCCCTCTCAACCCAGCTTAGTACATAATTATTTGCAACTGTTTTGATAGCCAAACCTAACTGTTGTTGTATTATTGTTTTTTTCCTAATTTTTTGTGGCAATTTTCCTTGTTCTCCACAGGAGAGGCACGTTTAGCTCCTTTCCAATTCCTTCTTTAGATTTCTTGATTTCTACCTCTGTATTGATACAATACTGTATTTGTCAGAGTCTGCCTTCAGGGAAGTTTTTTCAAGTCCTATTTGGGCTTATTATCCACCCACTCTTCTGTCACTTTCAGTGGTAATTTTTTCATTGCGTTGTTTTATTTTTTCCCCTGATGCATTCATCTGGGAATTTTCCTTTCCTTCCTGCTTTTCCTTTTGTCTCCTAAGGTAGGAAACATGGGAAAAAGCTGAATCAGTTCAAATCAGCGCTAGTGCCCATGCAATGGAGATCTATACAGTGGCCTAAAGCAGGTCTCTGGTTATGCAAAATCAAAACCCCTGCAGTAAAAAACCCTTCAAGAAATATGTGAGACACCTTATCCCACGCTGTGTGCCCCATTCCAGTGCTTTCTGCCCTATGGAGTAGAAGTTATATTTAATGGTTGACACCAAAAGCAGACATCTAAATTTAAAATTACCAATCTGATAACCTCCTTTTTCTTCCCCCCCAACTTCTTCCCAACAGGGTGGTTTAAAACTTACTTTTGCAGCTTATGCCCTGAAATGTCTTGACAGATTTGAGCCACTCCATGCCTTGGTCATATATCTAGGTCTGGCTGTGATCCAGGGATGAAATACCCGCCTATGTTTGTGCTTTTTGTTGCTGGGATCCTCAGAGTACGTCTGCACAAAATGCAGCAACAGCCACATTTTCTTTCCACTTCCCATGGAAATGTTTTACCTGCCAGCCTGCAAGCCAGTTGTGGTAGTTTGTCCACTGTCTTCATGAGATGATACAAAAAATGCTGCAAGGGCCACAGCACAGAGAAGGTAAATGGTTCAGCAGCCTCTTACAGAATGTGCTTGAAACAGCAGAGACTTCTGGATTCCAGTGTTTGCTCCTTGCAGTGGGTTTTGTCACACAGTTTCCAAGTGCAAGGACATTTTTTTGTAAAGCCTAGGTAATAGCTTCAGACTAAGTATTTTATTGCAGAGATTAGAATACCTGAAAGTTTATTCTTACAGGGTCATACTCTTTTGAATCTCAGTTATAGCTTCTGAATCAGGGTTAGAGTTAAAAAACCCCACAGGTAATACATTGCTTTTTTCTATGAGTATTTGTATGTACAAAATTATGTATTTTAATAAAAAAATTTCAAGTGGGTACTAGTATTTTCATAGAATACTACTAGCTAATTGTAATGTTCATCTGTGGGAGGAATTTTTAAGTCAAACTAGTGGTGAAAATTAACATTACCCATTCAAGATTAAAGCACATCCTTGTATTAAATTGTGTGTGCAAGAAAATAAATGCAATATATCGAAGGGCAGTATCTGCTGACAGCTTCAGGGTTCCAAATGCTTTCATGGATTCTCAGATATAGGGAAAAATACTGTGCATTCTAACCTCACACATATTACAAATATTCATGTAAGTTTTGGCTTGTTTTTAAGGGGAATTCAAACTTGATATTGCTACAAATTAGTTCCAGATCCATTTTTGAATAGTGATTTTTTGGTCTGATTCTTTTCTTTCTGCAAGAATGAGTCTCAAGTTCTTTTCCTAGACACTGTCTTATATCCTCAGTGGGACAAGAGGGCAAGACACATCATTAGGTAATTATCATCATATCACACAATGTCGCATCAAAGTGAAAAATTTCTGTATCATTTTTCCCCCCTTTACTTCAATGCATTTGTATCCTAATATTTAGGTGGAAAAGAAGAGATCAAATAACTACAGAAAGCAGGCAGTGTGACTAACAAAGTGCTGAAAGTTACTGTTCAATACTTTGGGTTTTTTCCCCTTCAGGCTGATAATGTTCTGTGTCATATAAAGTGACAATCTACAGTGGAAGGAGTCTGTACCCACTTATTGCTAAAATGTGCAAGGAGGGAAACTGCCACTGGGATCTGAACACTGTAGGACATTCTGCCAGGAGCCAGGGGCTCACCACAGCTCAGGCAGAAGTTGGTTAGCACCATAAGGCTACCCAAAGCTGAGGTTGCTGGTTCTCATTTTATGTGAGCTGGTCTGGGCATCTGTGGGCAGTTACTAAGCACCCTCTGAATATTCACTTGCATTATTACAGTTTTCTCATCTTACAGAGGTCAACAAGAGCTGCTTTTAAACAAAGCCTTAATTTATGCAACTTTTCACACAATTTAGTTGCAGCATATGCATCTCCTGTGCTGCCAGGATTTTTGCTGATTTTTAATAAGGTTTTACTGAGCCCATCGACTGTTGCTTATCCGAGGGGTGCCTCTAGAGCAGATGGCATATGCCATTACTGTGCCTTGCTTTCACCTGTCCTTGCATTTTCAGGTCTTCTATGCAGAATTCTGTGGCTGAAAAGCGAAGCTATCTAAAGAGATGACTAAAAGAAGAAAACAAGTCTATTTTTTTGTCATGGCAAGATGCTCTAATTCAAAGTGCTTACACATTCATGTTACCAAATTAAAAAAAAGATTGTGACAAAAGAATTTGAATTATATACACGGCAAAGAAAATTAGTTTTAAGTGCATTTATTTTGAAATAAACAAGAATATTATATGTATATATTCATATTTATATTAAATAATTTTATTAAACATGAAGAAAAATAGTCTTAAAAACTAATCTGACACTTTCACATTCTATTTAATATTAAGTAACTATAGATAAGAAATTTATAGAAAAATGCAAAACTTGCTTCAAGCCAGCCGTAAAAGCAAAGTGCACTATTGCCTAGGGCAGTGGAGCAGCAAAATGATGATGGTACAGCTGCTTCCTCCAAGGGGAGGTCACTGTGAGTGACAGCCATGAATGAAAAGGAAGGATGGGAACCCCTTCAGTGACTCCCAATGTTTTCTTCTCTCTTCTTTGTCCTTTGCCACTGAAGTAGCAAACTGGGTTTTGCATGTGCTGACAAGAAGCAGTGAGACAGTTCTGCGTACCGAGACAATACACTGAATACAGCTGATTCCCCAAGTGACCACTCAGGGACTGCAGCTTACCTCTGTTCTGCTGTGTCAATTCAAGAACCTTTATCTCAATTTATTTGATTTATTTCTTGCTGTCAATAGTTTAAGGACACCAAGGTGGAAATTTTGAATTTATTTATCATGAAATATTAACTGAAGTATCATCCTTTGATAGTTTTCTGAACTGGCCTGGGTTTTGCGTTTGTTTTTTTTCAGATAAAAGCCACACTTAGCAATTTATTTTTTTTTTACAACTCTCAGTGTGGAATTTCTTAAAAAAAGCTTCCTTCTCATTTTGTTTTGGTTTGTCTACCAGAAATATATGTTACTATAAATTAAGCATTTCAAAACTTAGATGCACTGTTACACAGACACCATACATCTATTCACATGACATTTAAGATGATAATTGAGCAACATGTGCATGTAAAAAGTTTTATTTCATGATTTGGAGTAGTAAGATATCTAAAAGCATTCTTTTAGTTCTGTTTTGATTGTCTGATTACCAAATATTTCTGCTTCTGATGACAATTTGTTGACATTAGTTCAAGTGTGTGCGTACTCAGCTGGAATTATTTCATGGCACAGTCTTTTCCTAAACAGATACAGATTTATTCAATATCCAGTAAATCTCTTCAAGAAGGGTGTAAAAAATATTTGTTCTTGTTTGTGTGGATTTAATTCCTACTACCTAACAATAATGTTAATAGGGAGTAAGGAAATATGCTGCTGAATAGCAAACAAGTAATATTCAAATAATACTACTTAGTGTTGTTCTGTACTGTGCATGCATTCATGTTTTGTTTTGTTTTTGCTTTGACACAAACACAAGCTATTTATCTAGTTTTCAGATACAGCATTCCAGAGTAGCAAATTAGACAACTATAACTCCTATTCAGTGCCACTTCATTAAAAGTGCACTATTCACAATAAGCACATGAATTTGTACTCTACCTGAAACATACCTGTGTATGGCAATAAAATTTATAATAAATATTACAAAGTGTGTGCTACATGAATTTGAACATTTTGACTTGTCTTTGACACACTGCTTGTAAGACATCTTAAAATCTGTACTATTTTTTAAAGGATAAATTCATAAACATAAGACTTGGAGAATTGAACATTGCAGTTCATACAGTACTTTTCCTAGGTAAATACCTATCATTCACATTATAACCATAACAGCTTACTCCTTGTAAAATAACAGCCTCTAAGACTTTAATTTGTCCATTCAACTCATGTGTAATCATTATGCTACTTAATGTAGTCTCATTTTCAGTTTAGCACAAACTTTTAATAGTGCTCATCTGAAAGTGAATTCACAGTCTAAGCTGATGCAGGCGGTTTTTCTTCACTGCCAAACATCTTCCTGCCCAGGTGTAAGACTTATTTTTGTTTCCTTTTAAATCAAAAATTTATCTCAAAATAATAAAAAATAATATTCAAAAGGTGTTCTTACAAAAGAAGGCTTTGCCCACCCACATGGCATAGTTAATTCATCAATTAAATGAAATCCATACTGAAAAGCAGTTTTAAGAGTTGATGATCACTACACTAAGTGGAAAAGAAGTTCTGTGTTTTCTACTGCAGCTGGAAGATTCGCCATTCACCTGGGTTAGTTTGTTCTTCGTTAAGAATTTATGGGAATAAATAATTTTAGCCAGTGCAGATAATCCTGCTTTCTTCCTTTATCTCAGCATATCTCGTCTCCGAAATTGCCTCCACAGATCTCTGAGATGCTCACTGGTTACAGTCATCACACAAGAGTAATATTCCTTCCAACCATACTTTGGAGTCTCCTGTGAAAAGTGAAAAACATACAATTGGAAAAAAGATACCATCCACTACATTCACTAATTCTACCTTAAGTTTTATTCAGACTGATACATACTAGATAGTTTTTTTAATATTAAAATAGTGGGAGATCAGACTTATGTCTGTAAAATGAGAGTTATAAATCCGTACATAGGTTAAGTATTCAAAAGGCATCCTCACCTCACAGCACACAATTAGCATTCAACCAACAGTTGAATGAACCATTCAACCAATTCAACCTATTTATATTAAAAGATGCAAGAAAATATTTCCTCTTTATTCAGGTATGCCCAGCTCCCTCTCTAGTTTTGTCCTTGCTTCTTTGTATTGACACTGTACTAAAAAGTTCACCTATGACCCCAAACAAAAATCACAGAAAATTATTGATGTTCATTAAACTGAGGGACTAAAAGCCAAATACCGTATGGGCAGATGACATGAAAGCTTCTGTATATTAGATTAACTTAATCCTAGATTTTAGTTCTGCAACATGAATAGTTATCCACTGAATGGAAAGGAAAACTGGCCAAGGGCTGGCCTGGGAGATTCACTGCTCTGTGCTCTATGCTCTCTGTATTTATCACTGGATCTCATGATTTCTTCCACTGCTCCTAACTCCACAAGTCTATTTTCATAGTAAGTGTAAAAAATAGATGGAGAGATACTAAGAATTAGAGCAACTGGGGAAACAAACCACCTTCCTCCTAGTTTATATGCTGAGCATATGCCACATGGTGTGGAGTATCCCCTGGGCCAATTGGGGTCAGTTGTCCTGGCTGTGTCCCCTCCCAACTCCTTGTGCACACCCAGCCTCCTCACAGCTGGGGTGGGGAGAGGAGCTGAGAAGTCCTTGACTCTGTGAAAGCACTGCTCACAGCAACCAGGACATCAGTGTGTCATCAAGAGTATTCTCATCCTGTATTTGAAACACAGCACTGTAGCAGACACTAGGAAGAAAATTAACTCACTCTGAGCTAAAACCAGGACACATGGTGAGACTGTCCAATACCCTGTTTTGATTGAACTGAGTGAAGATGTTAAAGAAATTGCCACACCGCAGTACATGAAAATCCACCACCGGACACTGAAGCCTACATCTGTTTATTCTTATCCCTCATCTTGTTTAGTTAAAAATTGCCACACTGCAGTACATGAAAATCCACCACTGGACACTGAAGCCTACATCTGTTTATTCCTATCCCTCATCTTGTTTAGTTAAAAAGCACAGAAGTTTATAAAGAAGTTGTAGATATTCAGCACACAATTTAATGCACAGTAGTATATGATGATGTTAAATGAAATATTGGAAACCATACTTACATGAATGCATAATTTAGCTGATATTTATAGTCAGCCTAATGAAAAAATGCATAACTTGCATATTGCAGTGCATTATTTAACAAAAGCATATTCAGTTTATTAAGCTGTGCTTTAAGATATGCATTTATTTTTTATTTTATGAAACAAGTTCGGAGAAATGTTCATGAAAGTCATTAAAAGAAATGCTGAAATACACTGACTATTCATCTACTTACTTCTAATGTATGCACTGTTGTTGTATGTACTCTCAGTGTACCAAATCCCCAGAGGGAACAGCTTGTCCACATGTTCTGCAATGCTTTCATGTTTCACTGGAACATTCTCCTCCCCCTGTATCCAGGTACATTTTTAAGCTTCTTGTCAAGTTTAGGATCAAAATCCCAAGTTCTGCAATTTCCAATTACTTTTGTAAGATGAGTCAGGAAGATGTGCCTAATCGCACACTTCTCACCCCTCTGCTTTAGAGAAGAGGTAAGCAAAAGTCTCTTCAAACACTAAGCAACAGCCTCTTTCATTTTTTTAAAGCTGTTTTTTACACTAGATGTATTAAGTTGCTGTGTACTAGGAAACTATAGAAACAAAAAACTTTAAAGATTAGCTACATGAAAAATTTAATTTCACTTGACAGGATTAAGTGTTTACAGAAGAAAGCAATTTATAGTTGAAATTGCTAGAAATGAGGTTCTGAATCCATGCTTCAGTTTTTTGATGTATTTTTCAAAATAAATTTCCTTCCTTGCTCAGTCTCAAGGTACTATTTTCAGCTATTAACCATTACCTCCTAAAAGCTTGTAATCAGAAATTTTGAAAACTCACAATATTCAGAACACCCAGAAATCAATTATTTCAATTTAAAAAAAATCTTAAGATTCTCAGAAAATTACTAGTACCTAGAAATTAACTTCTAGATTTACATTTGCGATGTCGTAATTACTTTTATTACTTCAGTGGTCAATAAAATCACAGTTATGGCCTAAGTATCTATTACAGTTACTGAGCACATTTAGCAAACAGTACTTTAGATGGACTTGAATCCCTTCATAAGTTGGTCTCTAGCATTCCTTTTTGGAAATTAACTTTGAAGGGCTTTGTTAGAAATTTCCTAGATATTTCTGCCAGGCAGTTCTCCACAAAGGTGTTTTTTCAGCTCTCCCTGCAGTGTATGCAAAGCAGTACCTGCAATGCCCAGTCAGGCTGTGTGCCCTGCAGGGACCACACACAGCTTGTACAGCTGCTCCCCAAGGAGAAATCTGCATTATTTATGATTAGGGTACAACATTCTTTGGAGTAATGGCATTAGTGCATTTCAGAGATATGTGATGTACAGCACAATGAGCTGTTTATTGCTTGTCAGAGTGCAGATTCACAGTGGGGTATAATCTATGGCAAGTCTGCCAAGTATCTTAATCTCCTTCACCAGAGTTCTACATTTACCACAGAAAAGCACAGTGTTTCAAAGCACAATGAACTGTACATTTATATTTGGAAAAAAAGTAAAATTAATAGTAGTTGTATCGCATCTAACTGTGAGATGTAGTTGCAGCTGATTTTTGTATTTTATGTACATTTATGTGCTTCTTTGGACATCAGACTGAAATTTAATTACCTATTGAATTTTTTCCATTTCAAATCTCCAATGATTCAATTTTTATTATCTTTTCAAATTATAAACTAAATGGAAAATAATGATTTTTAGAATTATATAAAATCCACTTTCACTCCATAATGTATGGCAAAGACAGAACTATCTCTATTCTACTCCACAGTACTTTGCCAAATCACTTCACGTGCCTTGGCTAAAGGTTCCATTTCCATTAGCAGAAGTTTACAACAAATCTGAAGAAATATTATGAGTTATACGATGTTTTGCACCAGCCAACAGCTGGTTACATCACTGTAACCAGCCTGGGCTTGATCTCAGGGGTCTTTTCTGACCTTAACAGTTCTGGGATTCTGACTCGTGATAAGCAGCAGTTGCTCAAGTGAAGAGCAGGGGCAAACTAATGGGTCAGCGGGGAAGAGAGAATTTTATGTACACAAGGCTTACATTGTATTCTTCAGTGCACAGGCAACAGGTATTTGATACAGACCCACCACTCAAACAAGCTTGGATACAATAAGAATTTTTGTTACATCCAGGAGCTCCAGGTGGGAAGAGGAGCAGGGTAAATAACTAGAGGCTTCTGCATTAACTCAGTGAGGTTGACTGTAGCCAAGTCCATGCTGTGAAAACTAACCTGATTTCTTCTCTCTCCAAATGGGTAGTGTAGATGTGCTATAATTCAAATTTTTTTTGAGAATGACTTTATAGAGAATGAACAACATCTCCCTTTCTAAACCTTTTTTCTCAGTTTACATCATCTCAGCATATGAATTAATTAATTTAGTGCCTGAATTTAAATCTGACAAGTTGTTGATGTATGTATACTTGATGCTTTTACCAGTCTCTCTTCCTGTCACCAAAATAATTTTATTAGGTTTGTTGATTACACAGTGGATTCCTTTGTGTCACTGCATTTTCTTCCACTTGGTCACAAACCCTTCACTGAAATTATTAGGGAAGCATCATGACTATGTAGCATTTTGCCAATTTCCTGTAAGAGCTGTTCCACATATTGAAAAGTTTACAGTTTAAATAATACTTAATATGAAACTACAATATGGGTTTTCACAAAAAGACAAAGTACTTCTAATAACTATTTTTAAAAATACATGAGAAAAGAAGAAAGGAATCTTTGAAAGTCAAAAGTTTCAAAGATATAAAGTTACAAAAGATTAAACTGAAGCCATTACTTCCTCTCATGTGACTAGTGACTTGGATTACTGAAACATTAAATTTAAAAACATTAAACTACTTTATTAGTAATTTACACTTCCCATTAGTAATATGGAGAAACCAGACGCTCTGGTAACATCAAATTTCTTCCTCTGTCCCTCACATAGTCGTACAATGCTTCAGTATTGGGGGGATAGTATTGAACAAAAAGCCTCAGCTTAATATTGTGCCTCAGAATTAAAGCCAGCAGGGGAATGAAGTCAAACCCTCCTGGCTCGGGAGCAGGAGATGTGCTGGACTCCTCACAGGGTCACTCAGAGCAGACATTGGCCATGGGCTTGTCATGGTGTACAACTCTTTGCTCCTCCCCCCTGTAAAAAAACATCTGGGGGCCAACAGCCTTCAGAGCAACTCCTGCAAAGTCTTTACATGGAAAGGAAAACCCCTTAAACTGCAAAGGAACAAACCCTTTATGGAAGAGGAAAAATGTCTACTAGTGCAGTGTCTGTGTCCCCTGTTTGTTGTGACAAACAGTTTCACAACACAGCTACAGCATATGCACACCCCAGTTTCCACACTGAAATCTGCAGTATACAATTGAACTGTACAGATGGACTTTCATGTAGTGGATATGTGAAAAGGGCCATGGTGATTATGTGTGGACACAAAGCTGATTTTTCAAAATTGCTGGTACAGCATTAATTGAGGCAAAAATACATGATTGCTTTCAAGAATGTAGCAGTATAAATCAAAGGATAATCAAGTCACTGAAAGTCAGAAAAATCTGCCTCTACAATCTTCCTCGGTAAATACTTATTAGCTATAGGTACCTGAGAAATTATTTAAAAAGAGATAATGGCACAGACAGAAAACAGCAACAGAAACTAAGAAAAAATACTTTTCTACTTTCAAACACAATACAAAACCACAGCTGGCTCACAGAACAGTGACAGTGTGAGTCACTCATTACCAACTCCAGGATAAAATTCTATTGCTTCAGTCAAAACACAACACGATGCCTTGAGCTACTACATAGCTTGCAGCCATATAACCTATTCCTGAGTTTTGGAACAGGAAACAAAAGCAGTGACAGTTCAACATTCAGCCATTCCTGCAGGCATGCCAGCACACTCAGACTGGTGGCCAACACATACCGTGATTTATCTGCTATAGAGCTCCTTCCTCACGCAGGATTTGAAAGTAGTGTACCTCTGTATAGGTTTGTAGCCCTGTGGAGCAGAAGATGGAGAAGTGTGCAGATGCAGACAACACGTGAAGGCAGCCAGGGGTAAGCATAAGACAACGGTATCATGAAAATACAAAAAAATGGCTTTAATTGACAAATAGCTAGGAGGTACAATACAGTATGTGTTATGCAAAATGTTTATCATTTAGTCATTGATTTTAAATACTTCCTGTTTAAAAATGGAATTTTTAAAGGAAAGGAAATCTTCCTATGTATTTTTAAATATGAAAAAGAAAGGGAAATAATTATTTTAACTAAACAGTAAGCAAATAAAAAGCTTTTCATGTTTGAACATTTAGTAAGTTTATGGCAACACTCTGACTGGCCACTTGATGGCAGCTTAACATATGAGTTTGCATCAAACTGCTAAAACAAAAACAAGGTTTCAGGTTGTGCTACAAAATTGCAGAAAAAGGGAAATTTCATTTGGTAAAGTCTTTAAGACATTTACTTTTCCAAAATAGTATCTGAAGTTTGTATTATAATGAACATTTATTGTGTTCCTATAAGAGGTAGCACCTGACCCTCCTGAAGTTTTTAAGCTTTTAAATAAGACAAATCAGCTACATATTGACTGATGTTTCAGAACTGCATTTTCATTGGACTTGTGTGACTCTTTGCTCTCAAATAGGTTCACTTTAGTCTGACTATAGAACCACAAAATGCCCTTTTCTAAAATACATGGTCCCAGTACCAAATCCTGTAATGGCCTCAAGATTCTGGGCAAATCTAATTAGTGAAACAACTTTTAAAAAGTTAGAATTTCTAAGTATAAGATGTTAATTGTAAAATTGTACTTCAAATCACAGGCCTGAAACAGTTATTTTAGGATCACAACTGAAACTGTAATTTTGGGATTTTTTTAGTGAGATACTCAAGACACTACATTAATTGGCAGACATTAATTGTAGAATACTTAAAATTAAAATCAGGCATTTATACTTCATAAAGAGGTTCAGATTTCTCATGGCCAAAATTTCTATGTTGCTACAAAATACTGAATAAGCTGAAGCTGTTACAATTTTTATCTGTATAATGAAACTGACCAAATTTTCATATGGATTCAAGCCACAGTTATTGATAAAGAAAATGTTAGTAATTTGTTAGTTTTGATTTAGCACAAGACGACATTTGAGCCCTCCACATTGTAGGAGCAAGAGGGTAAAGTTTTACTTGTTTTGGACACATTAAATACTCTGCAACTTTTACCATACAAACAATAGGAAGCAATTAATGACACTTTCCACCAATTTATTCTGGGAAAAAGGTTCTTTGGCATTTTCTACTTTTTATTCTAAACCTAGACTTCAATGGGGGGGGGGGGTGTTTATTAAGGCAAAATTTTTGAAGAATTTTTTTTATGAAGGCAAATTTTTGCAGAATTTTTACTACTATCCACTCTTAGAAAAAATTGGTTTGTGTGACACTTATGAAAACTTACTGGAAATTGTAATTCTTCAGTTTACTATTGTAATTGTCTTGGAATATTACTGATTAGTGAAAAGAATGTATTTAACAGAATTACAGGACCAAATCACAGTTGTCTCCCAGTCCAGCAGGTGTCTAACATTTAACTTAAATTAGAATTATAATTAATGAAAGACTGCGTTATTCTTCTGAATACTGGCTATTCTTTGTAGTTCTTTTACAGTCCACTGGAATATTTTACAGTGCTTCAGGGAAAAGCATGATACATACATAAGACTGAGTAGTGCCAGATGATACAGAGTCTTAAACTTATATGTGATTTCTGTCATGCATTTTGTGAAATAGGAACATGTAATAAATACAAGAATTACTTAGTAAGCAGACTGTTTGCTGGTTAAATTAACATACACTGCACATTTACAATTAGTAAACAATTAAAACATACAGCTGAACAGCTTGAAACAATTGTGAAGCAATCATCATTACCACACCATAATAAAAAGAATTGAGGACCAACAAGGAAATAAGTTTGTTACAAATACAGGGGTTGTTATCCACATTTTTTGTTTGATCATAATATTACAGAAATAACAAGTAAACTATTAGACTCAACAACATAGAAAGTTCTAAAATTACATTTAGGAAGCTAACTAAAATTAACTAAAATTACAGAAATAACATATTGAAATGTGACTTTAGGAATCATAATACAGTTTAAAATTTATGTCTAAGCAATAAAGTAATAAGGTTGTTAGTTAGAACACCACTTTACATTTAGTTTAAAATGTTAACACCTGTCATGAAAAGACAAAAAATGACTGTAAGTAATTTCCTGCCCTCTAGCTTATTATAATTGAATATTAGATTCAGGGTTTAATTACTAAAATGAGCTCTGAACAAGAACACAGCATTGTTCAGCACCACTTCACTAATTTTTATTTGAAAATTAAAACTACCTTCTGCTCCAACTCTTTCCAACTGCCATTATGAGCACTTGGTATTTTATATAATGTTTTAGAAGAGCTGACCTTTAACTAAACTTCCTGAGCTTGAGAGAGACGAATTCTCTTTTCTCTGCATGGAATACAGACATAATTGCTGCCACTGTTAAAATTCTTAATGCTAATCTGTCAATCACACAATACAGAAGAAATAACAGTATACAGGGGATTTCTCATCTCCTATTTGGTTTGCACATTATAAAGGTACATCATGTCCTCTAAATATTGCTTTCTAATAAAAAAAACCAAAGAAAAATTTAAGAAGGATTTTATCTTACAGATTGCTTCAGTATTTCTATAAATGTATACATGTATGTCTTAAAATATATGTCATAAATGTATGTCTTTAAACATATGCACGGCTGGTTTGAAATCTACAGGTGCTACAGATGCTAAAGTAGTGGTAAGTAGCAGAGTCCACTGAGATAACTATAAAACTTATAGTTATTCTATATTCTATAAAAATATAGTTATTCTAATTCTATAAAAATTAGAATCCTTACCCTAAACCCTCGATTGAGTCTGTCCTTCATAATGCCAATAAATTCTTTATAACTCAACTGGTCATCTCTGTCGACATCAAAAATCTTGAACACTGTGTTCACCAAATGTGGTGAGAGCTTCACACCTGTGGCTACATACACAGCACGCTTGAATTCATCTGCATAAGGAGAACACCAAGAAAAAAGTTTAAAAAGGTGAATTTAAAGGTATTTTGTGAACAGCATATTATGAAATATAACTAAACTTTTAACTTGAGTTTTCACATTTAAATACTCAAAAATATGAAAGAGTGAAAATCAGGACTGAATTTCACAGTTCTAAATCAAGTAGTTCTTAACTGATATAAAATGACACGGCTTAATTGGTGCCAATTATTTTACAAAAAAGATAACAGTCCATATACTGTACTATGTGCAATAACAAAATTAGAAAATAATATTATACTTAAACCTATGTTACATTTATGCCATTTACTTATTTGACACAAAACAGAACCCAAGACATAGAGCACAGAGAAAATGACAGAACCCCTTGGTAAGGCCATGAGGTAGGAGCACACTGGTGTTATGGGGTCAAACCCATGAAGAGGCTGCTTGAGGAGAGCACACAAGTCTGACCACTTTCCATATTGCTCACCTTGTGTTCCCCAGGCATCACAGCTGTTTCATTATGGATTGTAGTAGGTACATACATGCCTGGTTCTTTAAGTACCCACTTACTGATTTGTTAAAAATCTGTCTGATCTCTCCTTGGACCTCCTGACACTGTTTTCTTGTACAGCCTTTGCAGAAGGCCAAGTTTCAGACGCTCACTGTGTAAAGAAATGCTTTTGTTTACTTTAATCTGATGTCTCACTGGTGTCATCAAGTGCCTCTTAACTCTTGTATTGTAGGATTTGATGGACAGCCATTCTGCATTCAGCTTGCCCACCACTTATATAACTTCACATGATATCTCTTATGACATGACCAAGCCTTTTCCTCTCACAGCTGCAGTCCTACCATTTTTAGCCATTTACTGGAAACATTAAAACTACAAACTAGGAAATCAATAAAAAAAATTGCATTTTTGTCAATGTTCTATATGGGTATCAATGGATTTTTATAAAAATACAGATATTTACCTTGACCTATGGAACGACTTGCAAAATTATACATTTGCATTGCAATTGTGAAGTCTTCTAGATTGTTCAAGAATTGAAAAAATGATCTAAATTCTTCAAATGTGATACCCTAAAAACAGGAGAACAATATGCACTGTAAGAATTATCAGTAGTAATAACAACTGAATAAATAAACCTTGCAATTGTATATGTCAACTTCATGTAACAAGAGATACCAGACCCAATAAAAAGAAAAGGGATTTTTACTAAAAGTCAATCAAGTAGAGAACTGGAGTTTCTTGAGGAATGCAAAGTGTCTTTCCTCTCTGTGACTGCAACAAGACAGCAATTCTCACCAGAGTAGTCAAAAATACCGTTCCATTGCTGAGGGCAATTTTTAAGAATTCCAGGATTATTACAATACGATAGTCAATACTGAGAATAAAAATTCTAGGTTTAGATGAACATTGGAGTATGTTTACTTCTGAAAGCCACTGTTATATACATGTGAGTGTATGTGCTCATATAAATACATTGAATAGATTCATAAATATACATTATGGTCTATCTTAAGCCTGTACTTGAGGGTGAAATTTTCATATATCCAGATTTAGACACCCAAGTCTCTTCAGATGAGGGTTTGCAAGTACTGCAGGGTTTGTCCAGCTTTTAAAAAATCAATTACATTTTGACCAGACTTCAGACCATCTTCTGTGAAAGCTTCACTGAAAGTGTTCTTGTTAAAAGAGTTTATTTTCATTCCTTGTAATATTGGTTCTGCTCTTTTCTCATCTTAGTTAGCGATCCAAACATCTGATAAGCTATCTCAAAATCAATTCTGAAAGAGATCTGGAAATGAGACTTTGAACTAAGCCAGGACCATTGCCTATATCAAATTCCCCCCAGTCTCAGCCATTCTGAACATGGAATGGCATTGTGTATCAAACCTTGGACTCCTATAATTCCTGGCTATTTTTCCATTTGCTTTTATTCTTTTATCCTATTTAAGTACTTGTCTCTGAAAATATAATTGAAGGCAATAGTAAGACCTGTGAGCCTTTATGTTCAAACTAAAGCATTGATCTATGTCTCTGCTCAAACATATACACAGTCCTTATAGTATGGTGGAACACAGGAAACATGCAAGTGTAGGTTTGTGCCAGAAGGTGGCAGAGGTTGGATGCTAACCCATATGAAACAAAAAGGACCCTAGAAAATGTGGAGAGCAGCATAATATTGTTATAATAGAAGAATTTAAAAGGTCTCCACACACCTGAGATGTAAACCCCTGCTTAAGTGATCCTACCTAATCACTAGCTAAGATTTATAAACTCTTTGGAGAGCTTGGCCCATCTCCATCATGAGTTGCTTTTTCCAACAAGCAGATCTTTCACAATTAGAGGAAACCCTCATATACACAAGTAGAACTACCACCTTATTTAAATTTTTATCTTAAAAACTGAATTTAATATTATCAATACTGTCGTTTTGTTTCACTGCATTTGACACTATTAGTTTATGTGCCCAAGTTCTATTTCTTGCATTGTGTTTAGACTGAAAGCTCTATGGGACCGGGATAACTCTGCCATGCATTTGTGAAATTCCTCAATCAGTGAAACTTCATTTCTCAGCCAGGAGCCTCAGGTACTATGGCAAAACAGCAATCATAGAGAACATCCACCCCAGTCTTGAGTTGACACTTTTAGGTTCACAGATCCTTAATGTGCACAATTTGTCTGTAAAAATTCTGAATGCAAAAAATAAGCGTAAGAGGTCAAGCTACTGCAAAAATCTTGTTTGTTTGCATGACTTTTGCTTTTCCTAATAAACTGCCCTTTCTCATCCCTCAGTTTTCTGGCTTTTACCCTTCCAATTCCCTCCCTGATCCTGCTGGTGGGGGAGTAAGCAAATGGCTGCATGGGGCTTGGTCAATGGCTGAGATTAAGCCATGACAAAAAAAAAGGAAGTTAACTTTTTAATTTAGATGGGCAGATTTTATTTTACTACAGCAAAGAAAACTCAGATTAATGTACCAATGCTGCTAAAGATGCACAGACTTTCTTCAGGAGCTGATATCCGTAGTAATTCATGATGCCAGCTTACATGAATCACTGCTTGGCATCTAGTTAGTAAAAGGAGGAAGACATCCTGTGAGCGGGCAGTGTGCCAGCTGAACATTTTAACATGATTAAAATATGACAAAAGATCATCATGCTGCTTTAGAGGCTTCTTTGTACAGCACCATGAAAGGTTAACATTGCCATTGTGAGAGTACAGGCATATTACTTTACACACTCAACTAATTTTTCTTCTGAATTGAATCCTCTGGTTAGTATTAGTATTGCAGCATATCACTGTCATGAAATAAAGAGCAAATTTTATAATTTTCAAATTGTAATGCTATGACAAGAGCCAAAAAAATGTGACAACATTTAATCAATATATGAACACCCCATCCATGGCAGTAAGAGTCAAAGTCCTATTCTTAAAAGCCTGTGGCCAGCATAAGAGATGTAGTGACAGCACATTTACCAAGCCAATGATACAAAGTTATGAAAAACATCGATGTCTTGTTTCACTTAATGCAGGTGTAGCATATGACATACCTCAAATACCCAAATGTATGGCACCCATCCAGTGCCAGGACAATGCCAGAACACAGCATAAAAGCAAATATGTGACTGAGTGACAAAGCTTTCTACATGGAGGTTTTCCTTAACTGTTGGTCTCACCAGAGACCAAGAAGAGGAAACTAGTGTGGAATACGTGCTATGACCTTGGAAGACTTAGACATGAACTTCAAAGACTACTACTTGTGTTCAAAAGAAAGTGTCTGTATATTTACTTAACTTCACCTTTGACATTCAAAGTATTTCTCTATAACTACAACTGTCATTATTTTTCAGTTTCCCACGTGATACTTACATTATTGTTTCTATACAAGACCCAAAGCGAGTGGTTTTTTGTTTTTTTTTTTAGATTTCCATCTGGAACCATGTTATAGCAGTCCTATCTTGGCTCTGAATATTGAAAGCTGCACAGACATTTTACAGCAGTTTGATCTGAGCACCTCAGTGCCTAGACCAGGAACTTGGAAAGGGTGACTGAGCAGGAGCTCTGATCCCAATCTTACCACGTCATCTGACACCCAATCTGGTCAAAAGAGACAGCCCTGCTTTCCCAGATATATTTAACATTCAGTGGCCCTAACTGCTGTACAACCACAGGAATAATCAGATAATCCAGATATCTGAACAGAAAACTGTTAATTTTTGGAGTGTGCTTCTATCAGTTGACTGATCTTACTTACTGTGGAGACTGAAATTAAAACGTCATTCCTCAAATAAAAACAAAACCTAAACAAACTGTTCAAACTGATTTATTACTTTTCTTTGCAAGCTCTGCTGTCAATGCTATTAAAAGATATAGCTATTGAAAGAGTTAGATTTCTAGGACAAATTAATCTGATCTTCTTCTGTAAACACAAACAGAAGAAGTATATTCAAAACATCTCTTGTGTGAAGGGCTACTTTTAACATTATCCTATAGATTACCACTGATGCATAGTTGGTGTTACATTTCTCTCAGATACACTTCTGACAATGCATTTGTTGTTAAACAAATTAAGGAATATCTACTGCCTGACATTTACTATTTTTATTATAATTTCTGTCTCTTCAGTCTTCAAAAAACCCACACACCAATAAAAATTACAAGCAATTCACTAATAAAGCTAAAAAGCAATGAGATAAAATGTGATGTTATTTTTGAGGAAATGCTACTCCAGTGAGGGGGGAGGGAGGGAGGGAGGGAAGGAGGGAAGGAAGGAAGGAAGGAGAGAAAGAGAGAGTTTTTTGATCATTCATTGCTAGAAAATGTTTATATTTATTGTCTTATGGTTTTTGCAATTTAACCTGTTCTATTAGTTATGTTCTATCTAAACTTCAGCAATATTACTAGCTAAATCCTGTGGAATATATTTCTATGCTATTTACTCTTCTACATTTTATTCAGCAAGTAGTCTGAAAAACCAGGCATGCAGTTTATGATCAAAATAAAATCCTGGTGCTAAGTAATTCAGTCCAACAAAGCTATGTTTTCATGTTAATGACATTGGGACTGCATGCTGAGTCCTGCTGAGCAATTACCTTTTCTTCAGGAATACTGCCACGCATGTTTTCCAGGTAACTTGATGTATTTTCTACATTTGTATACCTCAAGAGAATATGGGCAAAGTCTTCCTCACTGATGGTGTTCATCCCATTAGAGTAGGAAAGGAATTCTATCTCTAGAACCTCAGTTTGCAGGTTATCCATAAATCTAAAACACAAACAAAATGTGAAGAAATTGTCATACTTTATATTTCTACCGTTTGTGTCCTTAAGTAAGGACAGGGCTGGGGTATAACCTTTCCACCCCAAAGTAACTAAAATTTGCAACAGCACTGGAAGAGGACTTTTTATTATTGGGCCACTTATTGTTTTATTTTGCTCTTTGTGTATATAACACACACAAAGGGAACACAAAACATAAAACCATACCTGCATAAGCTATGTGTATAGTAATATAGTACACATTAATTAGAAAAACTATAAAAATATTTTTATAAGGAATTAATGAAGTTGAGACTCACCTATAAAAATCTTCAAAGTTCAGTTCTGCTTTTCCTTTCTTGCCAAAAAAGTGTACCAGCAGTGTAGTATCTGACAGTGAACTTGTATAATCATCAGCACGCTTAAATATTAGAATAAAAAAAATTAAAGGCCATGATTGGATCAGATACAGAAGTATAATCTGAGAGCGCCTATCATCATAATAGACTTTTCTATTAAAAGAATAGAATAGTATATAAATAATAGAATAATAGACTTTTCTATTTGTATTTCATGTTTACAATCTCTAAAAGATTTTAATCTTGCAATCCATTACATTAATTTTGCCATGCAATTTTCACACAAAATAGCAGTAGCTGTTAATTGCATTTAGTAGAAAGTAGTTAAACTAACAGAATGATGTAATGGAAGCTGCAATGAAGGGGGAAAAGGTATGAAAAATAAAGCCAGAAACTTGTGAGGAAAAAAAAAATCTCATCAGTTAAGGTAAACCATAAAATGTAATAACTCCCTTTTGTACACAATCTCACTTTCCCTCTACTACGAAACTAAGAAATTAAAATGCAAAGTATTAAGAAGAAATAAAGAAATTAAAATACAGTAGTTCATATACTCTTATTCCATATTTCAAAAGTAAGTATGGGATTGTGTTCCACAATCACATCAGTTAGGTGTATTTCAAATGATTCTTTTCTGTAAGTTGTAGATAGCTACATCTTAAATGTTATTGCCCAAACACATTTAAAACAACAGAATTAGGAAATATTTTGAAGTAATGAAGCAGTATTTGGATTACTTCTCTTAGGACTGTTCCTCATGTACCAGGTTGTGATCTCTGTGCAGGACTGGAATTTCTGAATATGTACTAATACTTTTTCCTTAATAAATAACTAAGGTTTTGAAAACCAGATTGAGAAGATAAAGCAAACTAATTTTGGCCATTTGTAATAGCAGAAGTTGTAAACAGAAATCCAAACAGAAGTACCTGTCATTTGTGTATAGTGATTGCATAATATTCCACCTTTTTTACTACATATTCACTGCCCTTAACTATTGCATATATGCATTGATTATACTTCTTTGAAAAAGAAGCTCTTGATACTCTGAAGAGCTGAAGAATAATTCTGTAATATAAGGCCCTTAAATAAGCCACAGTAGCCCAACATGACACTGTTCTCCTGGTGTTAACATGCTTCTGGCAACATTAGAAATTTAAAAAGTAATGTGTTTAGTCTCCTTACTGCACCTGCTTAGGGATTACCTCCTGTCCAAGCTCTTTTTCTTTCAAAGACTTTACGAAAAGCACAGAGTAGGAGAGCAGTCTCTGCTCTTCCTAGGCAAGCTACCACCCATTAGGAAGTTTGTCTGCTGACTCTAGTGTTACAGTACAAAACAAGGCACAGTACAGAAACCTAGCAAATATTTGGGAGATGTAACAGTAATAATTTATCACCATCACAATACATTATAAACCTGTGGGATCCACCATAGGTGCAGAAAGCTGTTTATATAGCTCTATAAAGATCTACATGTATAAAACTGCAAGCCACATTCAAGAGTCCTTAGAGTCTGACTCTATTTCTTCACTGAAGTGGCTATACATTTGTAACAAAGAAACTCTAAGTGAGAAACCAGGAAAAAATTTTGAACAATGTGCAATAGTTCAACATCATGATAAACCATGTATCATGAAAAAGCATTTCACATCTACATTCTCTAAAGTACACTATATTATTTTCAAATTTACAAACTGATTTGTAAGAAACGTAAAGTGCTATACTCATTAAGAGTATTTATGTATCAACAACAAGGGAAAACACAAGGCAGTAACAAACACAAATCCCTTTCAACATGCAATCTAAAGAAATGAGAGAGACTTCTCTGTTCTTTACTATAATCAGTGTAGGATTCTCAAGATAGCATTTCATGTACTCTAGCTTCCTCTTTATTCTCATATTCTTCTCCAGGGAAAAAAAAGATGACATAGTGTATATAGAGGTAGAGATATTTCATGTCCTTCAATTAAGACAGCTCTGCTCTTCAAGTGAGCAAAATAATTCAGAAAAGTAATCACTATTTGTCTTTTAATATTGTTATCCTCCACTACAGGACACAATATACTGAAATGCAGATACCCTGATTTCTTATGTCTTTTAAGCAGTTAAATCCCTGAGCACATTCAAACAATTTCCCTCAAGTACACCGAAAAGATATCAAATGTTAAATTACAGCCTTTCATCTTGCAAAAACATTTCAAAACCTTAGACTTAGGTTGCATTCACCCATATCTAAAGCACCGTTTTAAAAAACCTACAATCTGTAAGTCTTTTCACAATTCCCACTTGGCTGGCCTCACTAAATGAAAAAACCCCAAACAAAAACCTCATTGCAGAAACTCAACCCAGTGTGCTTCTCTGAAGAACTGCAGGCAACTGAACACTATTCCCATGCTCCTTCTGCACTGATAGCATTAAATAAATTCTCTTTTATATGGTAAAGGATACAACCAGAAGTTTTAATAATTTAAAGCTATTATTTGTTTTTCATGATAAAATTAATTTTATTTTAGATCAGTGCAAATTAAATTGCCTCACCCGTTTCCAAGTATACAAATAGGAGCCTCAATTTTGATCAAATATGTTTTTAAATAAGTCATTTAAATGAGAATAAAATCCTTCTCATTTCTCTTTACCTTTACATTAACTGGAATACAAATGCAGGTAGAGAGAGAAACTGAAGACAAGTGTTTCAATCACTTGATTGACTTGCTGCATAATGGCAATATCTTTTTCTTTCTACTCTCTAGCCTGAAGTGCGTAAAATCTGTTTATTTTGTATTCTGCAAAATGAGTTTCAATTTCTTGATTAACAAGGGTTGACTAAAAGTAGGTAATGCTTGTAAGCATTGATTCCACTTTTACCAACATATTCCAATAATTAAGTATGTATATTATGATTTGATTTAATAATTTCTTTTTTTACTGAAAACTCTTGATTTTTCCAACAGTGATAACTAACCTAATGGTTTCCAATTTCACTTAGGAATTTAAGAATAAACTCCAAAACTGAATTTAGTGATAACTGCAATACTCCAACAGGACAGTGGAATTGCCAAATTATCAAGTACAAAACCAGCATTATACACTGTCCTAGAGAAAACTAGTTGTAATAAATAACTTTACTCTCCAAAGAGACCTTTTGATTCCCATAGCAACAAACCTTATTTACTCTCCTTTTCAACTTACATATAGCCTTCTCAAAAGCCTATGGAACAACACAGACCCCAGTGTCACCTTGCTTTATGCCACTTTCTCACTACAAATAGCTATAATATTATTCAGATGCAAGAATACCTGGGAGAGATAAAAATACGGATGAAAGCCAGCTGGCCCAAACCAAGCAAGATAAAGATAATGACAGTGAGAAGTGGGAAATTGTCAGTGGAGAAAATGCTGAACATGATTTTTCTTCATAAAATGATTTACAAGTGAGCACACAGGCTTTTTATACACTTTACTGAGAATTTACATCCCTATTAAGTATAGCTGCTACTAAGCTTCAATTACAGTATAGTTACAGATATTAGTCTGAGGCATCGGATAATAAAAATCCCTCTCTCTTCAAATTAAATGTGTGTAGAGATTTCCAGACTTAAGTCTATCTATACTTGGGACTGAATTCATGCCAGCTAACTGTACATTAAAATTACATTTCATTCAGGAAATGCAATGCCCCAAGCTTCTTGAATAATCAGTGAATTTAGAAGCCTTCTCTCCCCTCTATGTCTCCTTATCTGACTAGACAAGAGCACTGATATTCTGGATTTTAAAATTTGGTGGAAAATAAATTAGTATTAACAACTGGATTAACAATTCAGAAGCTCATGAGTGTAGAAGCAAGGGAAGATAGGCTGGGTCTACTATTTTATTAAAGATTACTCTGTATATGTTATTACTATGGATACTTCTATAAATATTGTTGTAAAACTCAATTCTGTAGCACTACATTTTGTTTTGGTGAAGGGCAAATGAACACAAGCGGAGAGAAATACAGAAGAGGAAATGCAGTTTCTACCTTAAAAGAAAAATCAAATACCTTATTTTGTTTGGCCCATAATTAAAATTCAAATAAATATAAGTTTGAGTGCTATGACTGCATTTATAAACACAACCACAAGTATGAAGATTAACACTAAAGAAGAAAAATCTCTATGGAAATTAATGAACAGCAGGCTGATATAAAGGGACTATGAGTAAATTAAGCCTTGAAATTAGAAATAGGCCTATTGAAGTCCTCAGGTTATTCAATAGCTTCTGCAGAGGAACAACAGGGACAAAACACTAATTACTTTCAGTGTGAAGCACACATTGCTTCCAAACCAAGGAAAAATACTGTTTTACTCTGGAGATCAGTTTTGGTTTCTTGTTCTTTTCTCATTATGATCCTGCTTAGGAAACATGGAACTCTGAGACCAGAGTCAGCGGGGAATTGCTCTGTGTTCTTAATGCCACTACCAGCAGAGCCATTACTCTTACTGTGTGGGCACAGAAAAGCATAAATGATCTAGTCTTTTGATCTTCTGAAATGATAAATACAAAGAAACATCTTACTCAATTCTCTAGAAGCAGATCATGAAGTAAGAATTATTAGAATTTAAAGCATTATGGAAATTAATTTGACAGATCAGTGGTACTTCTAGACCTCCATAATGATTGTGTAATATTACAAAAGATGGACCAATGTTTTGGTTACCTTAAAACATTCCTGGTTTTCTCCAATAATTAAAACAATCTTTGCATTATACTTTTTGTGAAGTTTGGTTCTGATAATATACATTAAAAGCACACTAAAGACATAAAGATTAAAAGCTGAAAGGGCTACCACTCTCAGTAAAGTTGTCATTTTACTGGACCATGCCTAAATGACAAAGGTTTTCTGAATTATTTCTCCAACTGTGAATTGCCAAGACTATTAGTGTTAGAAAATGTTTCTGAAGGACTGAAGAAGACTTCATCTTCCAACTCTTTCAAAAGGTAACTTTGCTTTTTCTTGGAAAAGACAACCTTCAATTATCACATTGTAGAGAACTAAACGCATTTGATCTGAGAACTTTGAAGTTTAAAACAAGAAAGTAATTAAAAGGAAAAGAAGAAACAGGGTGCATAATGTAAGAAAGCAATCAGAACAGAAGAAATAAAATAGCAGTCTGTTTATGGAGCAGAGACCAGAGAGGTTGTTTTATACCTCCGCAAGGTCTGAAAAGAGCGCTTGGCTTGTGCTACGTCTCAAAGTATCCCAATAGCTCCTGGGGACAAGGTCCTCTCCTTCTGTTTTAAGAACCTGCAGTTTCAAGAAGCACAATTGTTTGAAAAACAAAAAACAATGGAACAACCATTTATAAACTTTAAAATATTTTCTAGCTGATCTTCAAAATCAGGGCTTGGTTCTCTTGCTTCTCAACAGTGACATTTTTACCAGTTACATGACACTTTGTGTTACATGAAAGGAACATTGGTCTATTACAGCTATTTCCCTAATATTCTTGGATGCACCAAAAGTATCACTGATTTCATCTTCTCAAACAAAATAAATTCAAGAAAGCAATAGTGAAAATATTTACTACAAGTGCATATCAAAATGGCCATTTAAACTCAGCATTTTGCCAGTGTTTTTTTCTAACAATTCTGGTTTTCCAGAACATATTAGTTCATATACTTATAAATTTTTTTTCATTGGTAAAATAAAAATATCACCATATAATTAGTTATATAAAATAATTTAATCTAATATTTATGATGACATCATTGCACCAACAAAGAAAGGCAAAAAACAAGCCTAGTAAGTTCAACTGTAACATACTTATCAGGAAAACACTATCCATGTCTGATGATCAAACTTACTTTGTCATGAGAATGAACACCACATTCTTTTATGCATACAATTCTAGAATTATCTATTTTAAGTATTCACTGAATTTGTTCTCTTACTGGAGTTACTTTAGTCAATTGAATTAGTACTTCTGGCTGTGCACATTTCATTTCCATTACATGCATCGCATCACAGTTATCATGTTCTGGTTGGCATTTGGCCAGTGAAAGCACTCATGCAGTACATGCCAAAGCAGTCTCAGACACAAATGCAGTATGCACCAGAACATGACTTGAATTAACCTATGCAAATGAAAATACCAAAATATTTAACTCATTTAAAACATCACCATATGCTTTTTATGGCCTATGGACCTCAACACATTTTAAAAAAAACAGAACTGATTTGTCAGATGAACTGAGGAGAAGGGCCTCATGCATGAGGCAGCTGGACTATCCCAGACATTTCAGGGTTGCATCTCCTTGGAACCTGGGTATCTTCAACTCCTCAGGACATCCAGGAAAACAAAAGACTGCTACACTTCTTGTTTCAGTAGAAGAAATAGAACCTCAAAATATCTGGGGTTCTATCTTTTGGAGATGAGGGATTTACTGAATTCCTATACACCTGGGTCTCCTTTGCATGGAGATCTCCATTCAGATAGTAGGATGGCAAAAGATATGGCACACACCTGGGCATTATCTTGATAAAGGGCTTGACATGGCTCAGTCCAGAAGATGATTTTTTTACTGAATCTGAAAATTACATAAGTAGAATACCTAACTAGCTTGGTTTCAGTTTGAAACAGGAGAAAGCATGGGAATATGGCAGTCACTGTCCAGCAAGTTTGCTACAGTAAAGTCTGATCTGAAATCTGTTGAATCATAAGGCCTTGCATCTTCTACTTCATTTTTCTCACATCATTGCAGTATGCCTATCATGTCAACTGCGCATTTTAATTCAACAGACTTCCTTCCTGCATATTGCTCCAATCGTAGGTGCCAATTTCACAAGAAATAAATCTGTGCATTTCTATGAATAATTATATAAGAAAACAAATTTTAAAATTGGAATTTCACAATTCATCTAATTCTCCTGCATCCGATCCCCTCACTTGGAGTATCGCAATAATGCCCCAACAAGATGAATTCTTCTATTTAAACATAAAATTTGTCTGTTTTTTAAAAACTGTTTTACTTCTGCCATGATCCAGAAATTAATCAGATCATGATGAAGACATTAAAAACATCAGAAGATCTCTTTCTGCTTCTCTTTTTCAGCCCTCAAAAATTATTGTAAAGAAGTTTACTATCACCTTAGTAATACAGGGAATCCCTTCCTAGTTCAGCACTGAAAGTTCTTATGTATTTGTTCTGTAGGTGAAGCATAAAAATAGGAAAGCTCTCTTCAGGTTTCTTTTTGGGGGGCAATAAAGAGGTGAAGGATTCAACTGACTAATTATTCACACTACACAAAATGAAAGAAAGAGATGGATCAAATGACTCATGCAGGATGACTTAATTTCACACATTAATTAAAAATATGTCTATAGTTTATTGAAATGTATTTGTACTTTCCCTTAAAAATACTGTTTCCTCCATTTCATATAAATAGAGAGCAACCTTTCCTCCTGATAGGCTTGCATATTCAGCATACATGCAGCAATCTTTTATGCAAGTCAAGAGTCCTTAAATTTTTACTGATTAGCAGAAGTAATTTACCTAATGAAAAAGATAAATACAATAGACTTTCTTAAAGCATAATATTTCATCTCACTGGTGAAGACTGCATCAATTGAAAATAATTAGAGTACATACACTGTTAGTAGGAGTATGATATCCATAAAGTTGAAGACGCTGACATACAGCGAAAATGGGCCAAGCCAAGTATCACACGTCAGAGTGAAGACAAAAGAAGGGGGAAAAAAAGACAACAGAATAGGTTAAGACAAGCAAACCTTTACTTTATACATATTATTATTTTTGTTTGTTTATTTGTTTTCAATGTGACAGTGAAGAAAAAAATGGTTTATTTTCAGTCTTACTCTTCAAATTTTCAAAAGAGAAGTACAGGTTTTTAGAGATTACCCTCAGGGCCTATGTGCCATTTTGCCATCTCTACGTTCTTCAAAAGCTCTTCCTTTAGGTATAAGTTTCCTTTGTTCAAAATAAATTGTCTCTGAGAGATTCAACAACAGACCTACAGTTTTGAAAAGCTGAACAGGATAGGTCTCTCTGGGTGGGAAGAAAAAAGTCCTTTTTTTCTCAGGGAAGGTTTAAAAAGTAATAATTTTTGAAAATCATACCTCCTGTGGTTTCAGGGACAAAGAACTGAGACTGAGCATTGATGTTGGCAAAAGTATAATGGACACTGAGAAGCTGCGCTGATATGTCAAAATATTTCTTATGATAAGGAATTTTTTCCATAAACATGCAAATTGCAAATGAACATAGGCTTGGTTTTTTTTTCTGCTCTCGGCTTGGCAGAGATTTGTCCCTGATATTTACTTTCCAGCAGTAAAAGAAGCACCTGTTGTTGCTGCCATCCCTCAGACAAACCACCACAAACTCATTTATTTCTGACTTACCTTTTTATTTGTTTGCACAAAATGCAAATTTGACATTATGTGAGTATCCAATATTCCACAAAAAATTATTCAGATTAATATATTTTGCATTGGTCATAATAATTATTTAGTAAGAATTTAAATTTGAATATAAAATCTAAGTTCAGTTGTAACATTTCATAATCTATTTTAAAACTACTGTGTGGATAACAAGCACCAGGATCAGAAGATCTACATGGACAGCTTCAGTTAGTTCTGAAAGCAAGTGTGTAACTTGGTCTTCCCCCTGAGATCTCTCACTGTTAGAGACAGTAACACTGGCTCATTACTACTCACTTTTCCCTAGATTTCCAAGCTCCAAATGGAATCAATTCTACTGTCATAACATCTACTACAGTATTTAAACACTAATTTTTTCTTCCTATAAACCACTTACTCTTTTTTTCCAGTAACTACAGTTTAGGCTAAATAGTGCTTTTTTTCTACATGTGAAGTTATGCCTATTCTTCTAACAATATGAATTTAGTGACCAGTGAAATATACACACATATAATTTTGTACTACATCAAAAAAAACTACCAGACGCAACTTTTTGGATTTTACTTACCAGCATTGCACGTTTTTCTTCATCTCCTCTTTTTTCTCTCTTCTCATTTTTTTTCCTGAAGATTTCTTGGAGCTAAAAGCCAAACCATTTTGTTCACATTTAGTGTTCAGCCTGTTTTCACATACATAACAATATCCTTCATCATAAGGAACATTACAAACAGTATTAAAATGCAGTTCTTTACTGAAATATCAGAGTCTCATGATGCTTTATTGCTCATACTCATGCCTTCACGTTCCTTCTGTGACTTAAACCACCACACAGAAAGGAAAAAAGGAAATATTTTTTTCCACAAAGTAAGGGTAACAATTCTACTTGGGAGCACAATACCAAGAATGTCCTATTTAGCCAATCTGGCCAATATAAAAAGGGGAAGTTCCACCCTTTTCACCACCTCCAGGCACATCCTTTCGTGTCAGGTTCTAATTAGTGTCTCTGTGGTTATGTAGTCAGCTGGATCAATCTTTTTTTTCACATTAGTTTCCAACCTGATCAGTTCTTACTCCTGCTGGCACAAGGGAGGGGTAGAAACACCTGGTGGGGGTGAAACATTCCCCTTCAGCAGCAACAAACTACTACTCAAGAGCAATTTATCAAGTACCCTTTCTTTTCAAGTCTGTTCAAAGAATACCTTCAGGTCTTGTAAAATACCCCTTTCACAACTATCTCAACATGAAGACCTTTAAACATGACTTCTAAGAAAACCTCAAATACAAGATTTCAAACATACAGATTCTTAAGCATATTTATTTTTGTTAAGTCTTCAGAGTAAGAACTGGATTGTACTTATCTTTCTCTGCAAGTATCTGTTTTATTTAGGTATTTTTATTTATAGTAATACCAATTAATGTTCCCAAACCATTAGAAAAAGGTCTCACAGTGTTTAGCAATAGAAGAAAGTATTAGCTGTGATACTATCTGGGTCTCTACTGGACTTTCAGCTTTTAAAAAAAATTCATGTGAAAATATTATACTGTCTCATGTAGCATTTTTTATCCTCTAACTGGGCTGGAAAAGGAATAAACCCTGATCTGAGAAACTTGTCCAACCTACAATATGGTATTTTCAGAACCAAACACCTTGGCATACAGACACAATTGTGGCAGTTCTTTCAAAGGAGCAATTTTACCTACCATAAGTCTGGTAAAACCTGATAATGTAAAGGCATGTACACAGAGCTCCACAGGGATTGGAATGTGAAACAAAAAGTGTGTGTGATACATTTTGCAAGGAAATTTTCCAAACTAAATTTCTGGATATCTATCTTTATTTCAGAGAAGGCAAAAGGATCAGCAAGATTTACTGCAGGGGTATGGCAACATTGAAATGAAAGAATTCAATGTTTAGTGACTAATTAGCAAACACATGCATAAACAACATTTTATGAATTTCCAAAACTGACTACTGAGTTCTGGAATCTCCTACCAGGCAAATACAGACCAGAACATTTTGTGCATCACAATATCTATTTTTGAATATGGGATAAATTTACTGACCTTGGTAAATTTTTTCAATTTTTTTTTGCAAACCTACAAGGTGCAAGTTACTACAACTTATGCCAACAAGGAAAGAGTCTTGATAGGATAGAGTACTACAAAGTTTGCAACCCAGAACAATGCAAAGAAAAAAGTTAAATGAACAGAGAGAAACAGAAAGAAAATCCCTTTTGAAAAGTGAAATGACAAGCCATCGAGCAGGAGAGAAGAGTGGCAGTAATTGAAAAACCAAAAAAGATCAGTAAAAAGCAAGGCATCCTTGAATGTATTTCCCCTGCCACAGAAGGCAAAAGAAGTAGGATTCTGTTGCATGCATTATTAAAGCCTTGCTAAACTTCTGGAAATGGATCTTTTGTTCAGAAAGAGTGCTATAGGATACCAGTGACTGAAAAAAAGTGAATGCAAAAAGGGTCTAGGAGTACTTTCATAGGAACATTGTTTGAAACAGGATAATGAGATTGACTGCTGAAGGCAGCAAAACCAAGATCTCCAGTAACAAGGCAACACAATCCTTCTGTTCCCTGACCTCACCCCTATGACATAAGCAAAGAGGAAAGCACAAACACCATGAAATTAGTTTACAAAAACAATACAGCTGTTATCAGAAAAATAAGGCCTTTTTCAACTCTTCACTACACACACTGTCACCTCAAGAATCACATAACACGTGATCCCTAAGCAAAGCTCTTCAAAGTCTCTTTATTTATAAACCTGAATTGCATTTATTACCAATTTTGCAATAGCTGCTTGTAATTGATGGATAAATATTTTGCAAATGTTGGAGTAGTTCATATGCCAACTTTTGAACAGTCTCCTTTCAGGCACACAGGATATGATACATTATATTCAAGCAAGGTGAGTAAAGATGCCAAATGTATGTTCTGGGGCCAGTTCTATAATAGCTGCAGTATCACTGAATCAAACTCTTTTTTCATATATACTGTCATTACACAAAATTCTATCTACCTATCTATTCTTTTTCACTTCAGATCTCATATTCTGACTTAAGGGTTTAAATTTAATTTTTGAAGGATCACCGATATCTAATGAAGCAGAGTTGCACTCAAGTTTGAGCCATACAAATTTGTTAAATACAATAATCCCCTACAATGAGTAGGTGACAGTATACCTAATGCTTAAAAATTCTACTTTGTTTCTTTTATCCACCAAGTCTGCTAACAAAAATAAGGAGAAACTAGTCAGGGATCATGACAGAGAACAAATACATAGCAGGATGTGAAGAGGACCATAAAGGCATAGTTAGAAAGAAATATTAGTTAAATATTGCCCTTGTTTCCCACTTTATATGCTTATTTTATTTCACTTTTAGCATCAGTTTCTGAAAGACAAAGCCTCTTACTTCAATTTCCTCCCATTTAGCTGTTGTAATGGAAGCTCTTTTTTATATCAGAACAAATTTGTCAGTCTAGCCACCACATTCTGTTACACTGAATCATGAAAGATGCTTGCTTTTTCTTCTTCTTCCTCTATTTTTTCCTTTTGGTAATTAATCCAATGATTGCTGGTTTTCCTCCAACTGGAGAAGATGCTTATTAAGAATTAGCCCTTACAAGGATGCGTACATTTAATAACAGAGTACAAAAAAAGTTGAGTATGCCACAATTTGCAAGTGGTGTCTCCTTCCAAAATATATTTGGGATTTAAGTTCAGCATGTTAAGGAGAGTTTTCTCCATATTTCTATTTTCTTAAGGTTAGCATAGTTTATTTGAATCAATTAAGAAACCTCACACAGGAAACTAGGGTTTCTTTATTTCAAATAAATTGGGGCCAAACACTTAAATACATTCCATGTGTCTGTTTCACCCTTGGTATTTTGTTCCATCTTTTTCAATACGGCACTGGGCTTTTTCTCATGTGTACTCACTGTATTTCTTCAAAAGCTCAACTAAACAAAAATGCGTGGAGATAAAACGTATGTCTTTTACACAAATATATTTTTCCAACATCTGACTCAATTCTTATAAATGTTGTATTGCATTAATCATCTGTACTTGTTCAGTAGAAAATTAAGGCCTTGTTTAGTCTTCAGAAAGCTTGCCTATACCATAAAATTTTAAATTTTAATTTCTAAAGAAATGTCAAAACATATATTCACCATAACTGAGTGCTTCAGTGTAATCTCAGACAGCTGCTGCCAATGGACACCACCAATTTAGAGATCTCTGGTTTATGGTGCACATTTTTAGCATAAAGCCACACAGTTATCGTAAACTCAGAAGCCCTAACTTTGAGTGGTCAATTTTCTGCATTTCCTTTTTTTTTAATGATCATTTATTTAGAATGGCATTAATTATTCCTCCCATTTCTTTTGAAATCAGAAAATAAATTAAATGAACATAAATCTAAAATAGCCCTCGTTACTGCAAGATCATTGTCCTGAACTTGGTGTATCTTACTACCTGAAAACATATGAAGTATTGAAATTTTAATTTGAATTATTATTGAATTTAATACTGAAGATTTACCATTATAAAAATGAATATCTAGTGGATGATTTAGGATTTTCAAAGATTTTCCCTCAAGTACCAAATTATTCTTCATTTTCAAATCTCACCATCATGTGAATTTTTCTTTTGAAGTCTGGGCTTTTTAAAACTGTTTACATTTCTAACCTGAAAAAAATAAACTCTGCTTAAATAATTAATAAGATGGATTTACAGAACTGCTTTTTCCAAGCCATAAACAAAGTAAAGCTCTAATGTGAAAAATACTTTCATTCAAATTAGTAACGTAACAAAACCTTGGATGCAACCAAACTCCTGCCAAGTTCTAGGTATCCTGCCATCTGTTCCAAAGCACGTGGAAATCATTCAGGTCAAAGTCAGTTTCCCCTGCAGGAATATTTTCTGTAAAAAGAACTCACTGAACTCCACCTTAGCAAATTGCTTCAGCATATGGATTTAGGGGCTAAATTAGATATATGTACAGTATGTTTTATTTCATTACAGATCTTGTCCAAAACAGATGATGGTGCCACATTAGGTCAGTCAATATTTTTGGGTCACTTGTGATTATCAGCAGAATGAATGGCAAAGTGAGGTGATCATTAGAGCAATTAAATTACTCTGCTAACCATTAAAACATTTCTATTACCTTAATAGCCTATCTGTGACTTACAGTAGCAATCAGAAGATCCAGAATAAAAACTAGAATTAAGCTTCAAAAATAATTATATACAAGACTCCTATGCACTCTAAGAAGGAGTTTCTATTTTCAGTTTACATTATAAGAACTCTTTATACTAAATCAGACAAATAAACAACTACATTCAGTGAAGAATAGTAGATTATATTCTCATGACTACTGACATCATCACATTAGTTTCAAGATTACATCAAAAACTGCAAACATACATACCACTAAGAATTCCTTTTTGTCCACCATTTCATTGCCATCAGTATCGAACATGTTGAAAGCAATTCGAAAACCTGCATGTGGCTCTGTCAAAAAAATGCCAAACATTCAATTATTTATTTTCTTGGAAATAAAGCAAGTATAATACTCTAAGAAATTATTTGGTGTCCCTTCATAAAAGCCAGAACCTCAACTAATTTAAATCAGGATGTTTGTGTACATATTAAATGCAAATCATAACATCTGCAAAACAGTACAACCTGTTTTACTCAAACAGAAGGCATGCTCACAAAAGTAGAAATAGAACATGAAATATTCAAGAATAATATAGAAGAGTGTTAGTTTATGGATTGAGTCCATTTTATATTACAAACAGAAATATGTAGAAAATAAATTTTCTATGAAAAAAATGTTCTAAAAGACACTTTAAAAGATTTTGAAAAAGGGTACAGGACACAACTTTTGGTCAAAGTATATATTATGCTGGAAGAAACTCAACATTTTCTTGTTTACATGCTTACAGCCATTGAAATTTGAGATCAGGATAGAACTGATTTCTGAAACACGGCGACTTTGAAGGTAACTGTAAGTAAAGCCTTTAGGCAACATTTTGGGGATACCCACTGATTTGTACTATGAATGAATTATGGCCAGAAGTTAATTCAGATAACAAAGAAATGATGGAAGAATCATTGATGCCATAGTGGAAGATACTAAGGGTGCAGGGTCAAGTTCCAGCTCTGATTCATAACAGGAATCCAGTTCATCTCCAAAAAAACCCCACTAATCAATCCAATAGAAATTATTTAATTACATGTAAGTGAAAGACAAGTAAAATTCTTTGCTTCTTCCCAGAAAACACCTGTTAAAATATTAAAAAAGTCTGTATCCAGCTTAGTTTAGGTTATTTTACTTCAATTTTATGGGAGATAAAATAATAATTTTTCAATTTTGTTAGTGTTTCTGAAATAAATAATTTATATTTTACTACTGACTCTTTGATTTTGCCCATTATGCACTAATTGATGAAACAAACCAGCAACAATGTGTATCTTTCTGTTCTCTCTGTATTAATTCAGGAAATTTAGCTACAAATTTTGTACGAATTTCAAACAAGAAAATAAATTTAAGCTCTTAACTGGGGTTTAGCTGGAGCTTACGGCACAGCTTCATCAACAGCCACTAAAAGGTATTCTGGATAATAATGCATTTAAATAATGCATAACAAAAGCTTCCAGAAGGCAAAAGAGGTTCAGAGTGACATAGAGATGCATAGTGTAGTTTCTCTATATGCAGGGATGGGAAATGTAATTTAACACACAACAACACATTCAGAGCTTTGAAACTGTAAGGAATTTTTATCTCCAAAAATACTTACTTGTTAAAATACATAAGAGGAATAAATATTCTGTGTAAGATATCACACCTGAAGAAAAAAACAAACAAACAAACAAAAAAAGAGATGTCATGTTAGTTTTACCTTGTCTTCACATCCTAAACTTGAAAACATTAAATCTATATATAAGGAGAATTTTTGTACACGTGCATATGCATATTCATGCATGTAACTATTTTTGGTCAATAAATTATTGGTCTACAATATTCATCTATGGCTTGGGGCTTTTTGTTTGGGTTTGTATTTTAGGGGAAGAGTACATTAAACATGGCAAGTAAATTGACATTCAGTGGAGCACGGCTCAATAAACAGAATCTGGAGAGACTCTTAAAAGCTAATATAAATGATTTATTCAATTTTCTTTCCAAAAACCCCACCAGTAATTCATGATAATACTCTTTAACAGTATGAAAATATTTACTTTGAGAAGATTCTCAACATGCTTCCTCCTGATCACACCATTTGAATACAGGCCTTGACTTTATTAAGTGCTTTTTTAATACATGTGCTGTATTAACTGAAAACTTGATCTCATAGCTTTTTCTTTTTGCAAGATTACAAAAGGGAACCACACTGTGGAATGGCCCTTCCTTTTCTCTTCAGAAATGATTAAAGCAAAATTGAAATTAGAGCTGAAGTCAATACCCAAAGAGTATGTCTTGTACCATAAGTCATACTCGTGCCTTTCTAGCTCTGGAGTAAGGGGTAGAGACAACCTTGCAGAATGTCCAGCAGCAATGAAGAGAAGCATCTCTTAGTGCAACAAGAACAGAAAACAACAGCTTGCAGCTCTCCCAAGTGCCCTTAGCTCCAATGACCTTTGAGGCTGAACTAGGGAAGCTTGTTCCTGGTTTCTAGCAAATTGGTTTTGTCTGTCCTCCAAAACCAGAAGTGTTAAGTCAGTCCACAATCTCAGATTATTTCAAAAGAGTGAAAAAAGAAGTATTTAGATGCCTGAGAGTAAAGATGTCTATCAGCTAGGATTTTCAAAAGTTGCTGGCTGTCTCCTTGATTTCAGTCCAAGTCATGTGCAAAAGTTTTTCCAAAAACAGCCACATCTTTGGATGTTTAAATATCTTATTTTAAAATCTGACTTAACTGAAAACGTGACAAACTAGGTAAGCAGTCATCTGATTTTTTTGCACTGAAAAACCTGTACAATTAAAACTAAAAGCAATGTATCATTCATGTGAATTTTACTTCCATTATACTTCACATCCCATCTTTTGATCCAAGAGCAAATTTAAGTCTTCAGAACCAGTATTTTATTACTGCTAGTAGATATAGTTAGGAAAACTACTATGATTTTTTAATACCACCTACACTTCTCCTCAATTTACACATTATTGAAGATTAGTAATGATTAAATATAGGCATTTAAGTAACACATGCTCTTAAATGCTTTAAACACATGCTCTTTATCTTCTTGATTTTATACAGCAGCCTGCAGAAATTAAGTTTTCAAAGGCCTGCTTGAATCTGTTTGGACAAGCACCTATCAAGAAATCAGATACCTCAAAGGTTCTCATTCACTGATGGAAAACATTGTTTAATAGCCAGTCAATAAATGTAAATATATTTTTTTTGTTTTTTGATGGCACCTTCCTTGCTGTAAAACAGGAAGAATGTGCAATTGTCAAGTAATCCACAGGTATGAAGAAAGCAATAGAAACAGCCCTGAAAGCCTTCTCTCCTTTTGTTTGTACTGGCATATTGTAGCTGCAGACAGATAGTTCTGGTTGACTGCTCTGAGTGTTATGGGAGAGAGGCTCTGAAATGATGATTGAAGGGAAAGAAAAACTTACACTAGGATCAGAAAGAAGAGAAGGAAGGCACTCAAGAGAAAAACATAATAAAAACTTAAGGTCAGTGGGCATAAATCAGAGTGCCTCAGCTGAATTACATAAATCCATGGCAAAATAAATGGGCATAGTATTTGGCTAATTGCTTTGTATGCGCATGTTAAAAAAAATTGTTAAGAAACAAAAAAGTAAAGACTACATTAGAGACTACATTATAACCACAGAGATCTGAATTCTATTATTACCATTTCTTTAACCAATTTAAACTATCAGTCATAAGACCCATCATATTTTCTTATACTTTTATAAAACTGGGCAATAGAACTCACTTTTTCATAAAACGTGCTGAAAAGATATTCAAGTACTAAAGTCTAATACTAATTTTACTATCTTATTTTGACAGTTTGAGTCCTATCAATTCCATCAACTTCTGCAGAACTCCACTGGCAAAAACTGGAATAAGATACTGTTGAATCAAGACTACTCATGTTGCAGACATTTTATTACAGACTTAATAAGCTACATCTAGATACATTTTTAACTGATAATGTACTGATCTAACAGATTCTGAGGTTGAATTTTTATGCAATTAATATTTCAAAAGTCAGCTGTATGCTGCAATTAATATATTTATGCAATTAATATTTCAAAAGTCAACTATATAGAAAGCAGCCTAGAGCAAAGAAGTACACTGAAATACAATGCAAAGATGTGCCAATTTCTGCCTCACTGTGAGTGTTGGCTGTAGACTCAGGAAAAAAGAGTGCTTCCATGCACTAGAGAGCCTCCTTCGAGAGTAGTGTCCACACTACTTACTCCTTGAATAAATTTGAGCTGCATTTGAGTTATATTAACCAATTACATGTATATCTTTGATTGGAATTCTGTTGCTGGTGTGCTTATTTTAAACACCCATAAAGTGTCCTTTTATAGCAAGCACTTGTGTCTGCTTTTGAAAATATTTCAAATGCACCATCACACCTTTGCCACTCTGAATATAAGCAAGGAAATATGTAGATTATTTATTATAAATAGCTTTTAAATGTCTGTAAACCATCATTGTTTTATTTCCCTATGGTTTTTTTGTTGTGAAGGGATAGACCTTATAAAGAAAGAAAAAAATACAACAGAGGAGACTGGAAGTGACTCTTGGCTCTTCACTTACCAATAGTGTGAGTTTAAAAAGCTATCAAAGCCCTCATCTGCAGAATTTAAAGGAATACATAACATTTCTGAAACTGTCTCTTTGTGTTGTGTACAAAATGCTTTTCCAGTGATATAAGACAGCACTACTGTCTTTAGAAATAATCACATTATTGAACCTATTGAAAAGAAGTAAAGAGATATTGTTTCTTTACTGGAATAGTCTGTCTATAGTCCAGATATCATTCATGGCAACAAACTGAACCTGAAATATTCAAACTTCAGCTTAACAAACTCTGAGCCCCCAAACACTTAAAGAGGTTAGTTGGAAGCTGGCATCATTAAGACACTGTAGAGATTACATGGAACTTTTCCATGTTGTAAAATGTAGAATGCAATTTCTTTATTTTTGAAAACTGGACTCAGATTAAAGTATATCATCACAAAAAAGTTAATAGAATGGTACTTCGGTTCAGGAAAATAAATTCTTCACCTTTCTCATTAAGATTACGGAAAAGTTTGGAGGATCCTTTCCAAACCGGTGGTGTCTCCATAAGGATCTGATTCAGTTCCTAAAAAATAATGTTTAAGAAATTTAAAAGCATATATTTCAGTATTTAATTAAGTAGTTATTAGATAATGATTAAATTCTAAGATATCAATATAAAAGACAAGGAACTGCATGCAAATCTACCAGTTAATTGAACTTCAGTTACCACAATGATTTTGGAAGTACTCAAGCACTCCATAAATTTTTGTTCACATGATTATTGCAAGAATTACCCATCTGCATGAATGCTAAGTTTTTGCTGAGCTAGAGAGAGACATGCAATGTATTTGTGGCTGAAATAACTCACCACTGCTCATATTGACTGAAGCCAAGGATAAGTCCCCCTGGATTTCAGTAAGGTTTTCACACAAAATCTGAGCAACTGTTCTTTTAAAACACTTGACCTGAACTAAAGAAAACTTCACCCGTGAATATGAACATACTTTACTTAAAATACAGGGAAACAGACGGGGCCTTTTGAACTTATACAAATGAAAAAAAAAAAAAAAAAAAGAGGCCCTTAAACACCACAAAAGGGAGAGAGTGGCATAAATATTTCAGGCTGATTTGGATACACCTATTACATCTAGACACTAAGAAATGCAGTCAGGTATAGACCGAGGGAGAAACTGACAGATGATTAAATCAGTAAATTCACCAAAACAGGCACCGCAGCTAAAGTATTTGAAATTCTGGATTCAGCTGAGGCTGAAGGGACAAAAATTAAGAAATTAAAGTTTCCTGTGCCTCTACATTTACATCAAAAAATTCAACTACCAAAATGTATGGTTATAAGACCACACAGGAATTATTGCTCACCTGCTTTGACAGTGATCGCCATTTTTTAGCATCTGCAAAAAAAGAAGTTATGAATGCACAGGAATTTAATTATGCCAATGTCGTGTCATAAAAATTGGGCTACATCTATACTGTGTTTTCTACACAAAGAATTATTTTCCTTACTTTATGAGTGTAATTGTCTTTATGTTATTAAAAAACCCTTTAGCTTAATACATACCTAAAGTCCTAACTTTAAAGAACCAACTCAGATGTAGTTATTAATCCAACTCTGCTTCAATGAAGGAAAAGACCTTCAACCTCCAAAATATGGATATATTTTAAGGATTTAAAACATTTAACAGGAAACAGAGGGCATTCATGCTAACCCCTGGTAACAATATTCTGAAATTATTATTTAGAAGCAGTAATATTAAAATGCAAATTGTAAGGAGACCTGGATTACAATTCTTGCTTCATGGACCACTGATACTTTTTAAGACAAATACAGAAAAAAAGCCTTTGAAACTACACCAAGTGCTAAGACACCCTTCATCCCTTTCTACTATCTCACATTCCTTATCCTGCCTCTGTCAGGCTCAGTTCTTTGGTAGCTGTAACTGAACAAGAGTTGTCCATAACCATTCAAGAATTCAAAACTTGAGGCTCATCACCACCTTCTCAAGACAAATATTTGTACAGATTCAATATTATGATAAATTATGATAAGGCATTGTGAACATTAGAATTCACAAAGGTCCAGAAATTAGCATTTTATGTGGTCAACTCCATAACAAATTTTGGTAGGTAAAGGCTTCTTTTTGAAGAGCAAAAGACACTTTGTTATTAGAAATCCTTTACTCATAATGAACTTCATGCACCATTAAATAATTAAAACAACACACAAGCTACCTACTATGGTCTTCCATCAATTCATGGTTAGAAATTGACTGAAATTTCAATTTTATATCTTGGTAAAGGTTTACACCAAGACTGTTGACAAATCTCACTCTAACTATGGTGAAGTTATATCATGCAACATCGTAGCATGAGCTAACAGATTTTTCTTACATCTCAGTAACAAGCTAAATTTACTATAGTTAGCACAAAGGGGAAAAATATATTTCATCTTCTCTTAATTTGCTTTCTCAATATTTAACATATATTCAGATTATAAAAATGTATCAATAATGACTCTTAAAAATAATGTATGTTCCCAAATGAAAGCCTGCACCATAAAGGCAGAAACAAGTTAATGACAGCAAGTCATAATAACAAGTTAATTTTTTTTGCAATAAATGCCTGGAGTAAAAAGTTACATTTTATAAAAGAAAACACACTCTTACCATATTAGTTAGTGTTTAATCAAAAAAGGAAGTGAACACCCTCTTGACTTTTGTAGGGTTTACATGATTTCCAAAGTAAATCAATCACAATAGACACACTCACTCCATCACAAATATCATTCAGGCCTAACATTATTAGCTTTTCTATAAAGCGGACATAAAGAGATTCTATTATTATACTTCAAAGGGCATTTTTGCTTTTTGACAAAACTCAAGACCTTTCTACTCTTCATTCATAAAAACCCCAGGTATAAATTCTTTTTTTATTATGCAAAATATAGATGGTCTAGAATGTCAGCCTGAATGGACCCAATCATATACAACTTGCAAGTTATTTATAAAACTATCCCAAAAGTAAAAAATAAAATGCTTAGAATGCATCATTACAAAAAATCCTTCCTTAAAAGTACTACTTTCAACAGAGCAAGACAGAAAATTGACCTGCCCAAGAAGACAAATGGTACTTTGGCAATGCTGCAGTACAAAGGTTAAAATTACCATTGTCAGAGATGAGAAGCTGGATGTGGCAATCTGTGGGTCATCTATTTCAGCTATTACTTCCTATTTATCAGCTTTCTGTCGCAATTTCCCAGACAACATGACCTGCACTAGAATGAAGTGATCTACTTCTACTTAATTGTAATCCTTTAAAATAGTTATGTCAGCCATGTAACCTCTGATACCACAAAAACTAAAAGACACCCAGGTTAATTTTGCTTTTGGTCTCAGAGGTGAACTGGATGAACAGAAAGGATTTTGATAGAAACAATGTTTGCTACACTGAATTCAGAAGGGTGCCTGACTGTGCAACTCCAGATCTCTTCTCCTTTTCCATGAGACACACAGAATGTCCTTACGAGCTTAATGATTTTTGGTTTGGTTTTGTTTTTAAAATCTAAATACTTGCTTTGTGAGAGGAGGAAGCAGAAAATTCATCAGCATGGAAAAATATTAATAGCAAACCATACATATAGTATGGTCTAGCCAATCAAACTGTCAAAAAACAGAGTTAAACCAAAATGTTTTAATGATGTCCAGTACATATAGCACAAATGTTTCATGACCATACACAGTGAAACCCAACACCACACTAACAAAAAAGGGAAGAATTGAAGTTGTGAGCAGAGGAAATAGATAAAAAGTGCTGATATGTATTTGTATTAACTTGTGTGATAAGCAATCTGCTTCCTCTCTTTTAACTGCAAAGCAAAAAAAAAAAAATTTGCTTTCTGGTAAGAGTTTCAAAGTTTTGCAAGTTTTCACCATCTAAGCTCTATCTTCTGTCTTCACTGTTACAATGAGATTATATCTTTATTCAAAAGTTACAGAAGTTTTGATCACTGATGTGCCATGACTGAATTCTTTACTCTTGTTTCATTACTGTTAACAGAACAAAAGGGAAAAATCCAACATCTGCACAGAATTTTAAGAAAACTTAAGGTGGGTGATTATACATGTCACACCTGAGCAAAGATATTCCCATTCTCCGGAAGTTCTGTGCTGCTACCAATGCACTGCAAGCCTGAGGGGCAGGAAATCAAACTAGAGCAAAAAGGGATCACCTTACTATTTAGTCACTCTTTGATAATTAAAGCAAAGATTTTACAACAAATGACCTAAAGTTGATAGTTAATTTTACATTAATTAATACATAGTACTAACACTGGCAATGTTTAAGTGTAGAAAGTTGATCCCCGGGGGGACTATAACTCCGACTCAAAGCATGTTATTTAGCATGTTATTTATCATATTTCTAAATATGATGCAGTTATATCTTATTTTAGCCTTTTAGAAAATGTGTATGTTGCCTGCTTACAGAGAAACTCCATGAAAGAGGAAGCACGAGTTGTACAGCAATGCAGACCTGCTCAGAAAGAAACTGTGTCAGTGCAAATGGCAGAAATTAACTTGCCATCTTTCATGACTACTGAGCTGTTTGCAACCTTTAAGACGAGAATGCTTAACTAGCATACAGATGTTTACAATCTAGTAACAATCAGGACACTCTTTGTATGCACTTGGACACAATTAAAATTCTGAAGATGCAGCAGCTTTCTTCTACAACCAGAAACAGAAGTAGGAATCAAAAGCAAACGGGAAAAAACCATGCACCACAGACATTTTCCCTAGCAGTTCTAGCATTACAAAGCTCCTGCTTACGTTTGGGTTCATCACTGGTAACAGCCTGGATGAAGTCGTGTGGAGTCATGTATAGCTGTCCTTCAAATTCCAGACTGGCAAACCTACGAAACCGTTGCTCCCGCGGAGTTGCATAAAGGTGTAAATCTTCCAGGTCTGATCTGCTGTCTGTAACCTTCAAAGACAGAAGGACACAGTTTCAATCTATGAAAAAGGTTCTGATTTACAATTTTTTACGTACTATTTACAATTGCCACATTCACCATAAAGGAACTGTAACTGTGAAAGTGATAATTCAAAGTCAAACATATCCAAGTATTTTTCTATGGTAAGAGCTGAAACTACAATTGGGATTTCACTGCTATCATTTTCAGTCTTCTACCACTTTAGCAACAATCTCTGGGTATTGAAATTGGTGGTACTACCCAACCTCAGAAGAAAAAATTAAAATATAGAGAATTTCAGCTCCTAAATCATAGAAGAAGGGGAACTTTAACTCAAGGAAATCATTGTAACTTCAGCAGGCAGACTTCAAACAACTCTGCCAGAACTACTTCAGTTTTCTGATTGTTCCAGAAGAGAACAGAGTAATACTTTTTCTATATTGCTTCTTAATATAGAGGGCAGCTGTTGATAGTAATAGACCTCCGTAATATGATCCAGTGTAAAGCTACCAATCTGTGGGAACTGAAGAAGAGAAGAGCATAATTATAATTCCAGAGTTACGAAAGTATAATATAGCATTAGGTTCATATATTACGAGAGTCTGTGTCAGAAGTTTCTGGTATATTTCCCATCCAGCTGATTTAAATGTAAACTTGGTAGTACAAAACTGTAAATGTTCTAAATTCTCACATCTTTCTGTGGCACTGCCAAACCTTCAATAGAAAGTATGCTACTGCTATCTGAAAACTCTTTTTAGACCATAATGAGGCAAATTCCTCTGTGGAATCATTATCTTGAAGAAAATGTAAGTATCAACATTTTTTCAGAAATGAAGAAACCAAACCCAAACTGATTCCTAGAAGGAAAAGCAATCATATAGGTAACTTCTCCCATTATGTTGAAATAGGAATGCAGCATCTCATCAATAAAATCTCCCAAGTTGCTCATCATTCCTGTCATTTAATACAGTATTCGTAAAATTCTCCATCTGTCTAACTACGGAACACAGAATTTAACTAATATTATGGTTTCTTTTAGCAACTAAGAAAACCAACAAATGCACTTTATTTTTCAGAGAGGCATCTGAACCCAAACATAACTTGTAAGATGTCTGCAGTGGCTGTCCACTTAGAGATAACTGTTCTCATATAGAAACACAAACTGGTTTTCCAAAGCCTTTCTAAGAATAGATTAAAGATTTCAGCACTTAGAAGCAAAGACACATTTATACTGAGTAGTCAAAGATCTGGGCTCACTTTTCTTCAGCTTTTCAAACAACATTCTTAAAAAACAAAAGATTGGTGAGACTACTGCAGTCAAAATTGTATGGCCTCAGTTGTAATTAGGAGATTAAATTAGATGTGTAGAAGTGAAACATCAAAAATTAATGCGTCTAGAAGAGGTCAACCACTTTCTATTTGGAAAAAAAAATGTTTTATAGAGAGCTTTACTACTTAATAACTTATATAGGACATTTTAACCAGCCTTCTATAAGGACAAAAGACTATTGACTGTGTATTTCTCTTTCTGTATTTCTCTGTCTCTAGTTCTTTTGAAATCATTGCTCCATGTGTGTATGTGTGAAAATGTTTTGTTTCAACAGACGAACCTGTCAAAGAAAGTAAGATTAAGAGAAAGGTTGATACAATAATTTAATTTTTAGTAGACTGTTCTAAAAATATTCTGCACTCCTGCTTGAGAAGCAGCTCTAAACCCAGGCTCCATGTTTTTTATAATTTTCAAATTGTGGGATCTCAGCCTCTCAGGACTGGGGTGCAGGGTGACCAAGACCACCCCTGGGGGGCTCGGGAGTCCTGGAATGTTGCCAGAAATGTCTGGTGGCTGGACTTTGATCCCACATGGGAGACGACATCAGTATGAGGATAGGAGGATTTCACCGGGGTGAATGGTGAAGGGATAAGTTAATTGGAGTGTGAGATACAGGGTTTAAGATTTCTGTACAGGGGGGTCTAGAGATGTAAGATGGAGGAATTGGGGCGTGCCCTTCTCCTTCTTCTTCTTCCTCTAGGCCTCCATCTTCTGTGGTGATGTTGGCACTTTGAGATTGGACCTTACTAAAAGTGCACTGGTTAATAAGGGTAGAGGGTATTGGAGAAAAATGATAAATATTGTATACGTAACTCCGGGTATAAAGATAGGTGACCGCCCCAGGGGCTCTCAGTGTGTGCCCATGGCTGACTGCTGAGCAGAACTCTGTCAGGCCAAGAGAAAATCTTTTAGATAAGCATTTAATAAACACCGAGACCGAGAAAAGATCTGAAGTCCCTTCTCGTCCTTTGGAGCGCGGGCTGCCCAAGGCCACCTCGGGCCTTCCCGGACCATCTAAACAGCCGAAAATCCGACATCAAATGATTAATAATTAAATATAAGGAGAAAAAGACAGTCTAATAGCCAGACCTACAAAGTCATTTTAAAATGACAGAAAGAAGCAGAATTCTTTTCTAATGTATCCACATGCAAGACAAAATATTTCTGTCCTACCTCACTGTTTGAATATTTTGGTCTTACTGATCCTTCAGCAGTCCAGTGGCATTCAAACTATGCATTCATGTGGGAAATACACAAGTCAGTTGTTTTGATAGAACTTGTAGTGACACAACTGATTATCCCTGTATTTGAAGTTTAATAATCTATCTCTTTTTTTGAAATGTATATTATCACTATTAGAAACATGCTTGTGAATACAGTCAGGTTGTAAACACAAGTAATAAAGCAATATTTCTGCAAAGTCAATTTTCAGAAAAGAAACATCTTCCAGGCCATATTACACACATTGTATGTATAATAAATTGTAATCAGTCACAATCAATCATACACAATCACAGAAATCTCCAGATAATGTAACTCAAATATCATTTCAGTTTTGACCACTGTCAGTATTTAGAGAGCATGTTGAGATTCTTGGCTCTCAAGAAATTCTCACTGTCTCAGGTACTACTACTTAATATTTCGCTTGAGACACTCAGAAAAATATTTGCTAAATTCTCAGACACATATTTCAATATTATCTTAAGGACTCTATGGTACTACAAGTATAAAATAACATGCTGCAAACATGGAATTTTAAAGACATGCTTAAAATTTATGCATGTCAGTACTCAGGTCTGCAAAGCCTTAATTCCTGCCTTGTTTTTCAATCCAGCTTCCCTCTGACTATACAGCAATGCCAGTATTTCATGCTCTGGCTCAAAATCATGGTAACCTGATATGAATATTGCCTGCTCCCACAAACAGGAGTACTGCCCTAAAGGCCCAATACCTGCATGACCTTGCTCTGGTGCCTTATGTTCACTTTTCCAAGTGTCAAACTGGATAAGGGAACTGCTCTGACTGAGAACTTTTCTATTGGTGGTGTTATTTTTAAGTCAGATAGATGCCTGGGTCTACCCCATGAAAACAGTTATTTGTTTCAAAGCCTAGGCCACAGGAGCTTGCAGATTATGGAAAAAGAAAATACTACCTGTTCCAGCAGCAAGCTCCACCTACTTCAAGTGAGGGAAAACGGTGGGCTTAAACATTATTTTATTCCTAGGAGTAAAAACACCACTTTATTTTGAACTTAGTGGTTTTATCTGAAAGAATTAAAACAACTTATTTCAGCTATTGATCCAACAGGAATACAAATAAACGTAATCAAAGCTTAATACGTATTGGATCACTGGTCCATACACTAAATGCCCAAATAAAAGCAAAGTTTGGCTACAGAAGACTCCAGGCACACAATCAGCAAACTGACAAATAAAACTTTCTTTGGAAATAATATTATTTTTAATCCAAATTTCTTTTCAGAGCTTTATTGCTTCTATTACACTTAATAATTTATGTATCATACAGAACATTTTCTCTTGTAAAAGCTGTAATTACTGAGAAGTAACAAATATTCTAATTAAAAATCAGGACATTCTAAAGTATTACCTCAATTTGCACTTCTTCAGGCATTCATTTAAGAAATTGATCTCAACACATAACAATGAAGCATCTTCTGTTTTCCTCAACATTTGCAAATGATAATGCAGTGAGCCAAGTATGAAAATCTTAGTGACACTACCGATTGCTCTTGATTGATTTATTTCATTATTTCACATTTATGCCCATCTTGGGCAATCTTACTGTAGCAATGGATACAACGGGCACATCTCCAGTGAGGACAGGCTGAGAGTGTTGGAATTGTTCAGCCTCAAAGAAGCCAGGGAGACCTTAGAGCATCCTACCAGGACCTACAGGGGGTCTGCAAAAGAGCTGGAGAGGGACTTTCTACATGGACAGGTAGAGATGGGACAAGGGAGAATGGCTTTAAACTGACAGAGGGTTGAATAAGATTAGATCCTAGGAAGATATTCTGTACTGAGAAAAAAAGAATGGTGGTCAGACAGCACAGGTTGCTCAGAGAAGCTGGGGATGCCCTGGAAATGTTCCAGGCCAGGTTGGACAGGGCTGTGAGCAACCTGGTCAAGTGGAAACTGTCCCTGTCCATGGCAGAGGAGTTGGGAACTAGATGATCTTTAAGGTCCCTTCCAAACCATTCTTTGAACAAGACACAGAAAGTAGGTGCTGAATACCTCAGGGAAGGTACTGTTGGTGAAGGAGTGAACAAGATTCACTAAGTTTCGATTTCTATTTGAAGTTTCACGAGCTTATCCAGACTAAATCTCTCTGTGCTTAGCAAGTCTTTTCAAAAACTTTCATGAAAGCACATCTCTCTGACAAACAAATGAAGGTAGATTTTTTTATGCTACATGTTTACTAATCCTCTTGGCAATCATGCCTACTAATTACTATGATCTTGTATCATGTTACAATACTCTGTCTTTTAAAAAACAGACAGCCCCATTTCCATCACACAGAAAGTCACAAATCTTCTACTAGCAGTTTTATCTTAATTATAGGCATAGCTGCTTATCTCTGGTTTACCTGCACATGTATACTGACCTGCTTTATTAGAAATATAGGGGGAGAAATTCCACAGCTAAAACCAAGAATCTAGCTGGG